TATATTTATATATAATTTAAATATTAGAATATTACTATCATTAATAAAATAATTCGTATTATAAATTTATAGGCCTATTCATTTTTCGATGTTCACGGGATATGGGCAATTGTTGGGCGATCGAAGTCGACCTGTTTTAGTGGTCGAATTTCAAAATTGTTGAATATACCTCGATATACAATCATGACAGCTCTATTCTTATCCCTCTTTCCATTTTCCCCTCTTCATCTTCTTTCTATAATCCGTAACACCCAATTATTGATTATACATTATTGACAATAGCAAATAAGGGATCGTCTTGAATCCTGCACAATTACTAAAGAAAGGACAATACAGTCCAAGTATTGAAATACACACCATCGTGTTGGGATCGTTAGTATGTATTATTATTTTTATATTTTATTTATGAAAAAAATAAAATTAAAAGAAATAATAATTAATGTTTCATTAATAATTAATGTTTGAATTAATTAAAGTTTCAATACTGAATGTTGAAATGAAACTGAACTAGTTTTTATGTCATGCCTTGTACTATTTTGTTTATTATGTTCTTATTAGGAAGGAATGTTTGAGTTTAATTTGTTTGTAGTATGGGGTATGATGTTTAAGTTAAAAGCAGTTATAAATAATAAATATAATAATTTATGAAAATTCGGTAGACAACCTGGGGAGGCCAGATAGCCACATAGTCGTCATGACTAGTGGATAATAATTAGCCTCCCCCGGAACTAAACTTAATCTAGAGAAATAAAAAAGGGAAAAAGTAAAGAAAAACGCAAACAAGATAAAAAAAAAAATGGGTTTAATTTTTAAAATATTCAATTAAATTTTGTTTAAAGTAAAAAAAATAATTATACTTTCTTATTTGAGATTAATCAGTGGACCTTTCAGTGAATTATGCGGTTTCAATGATATAAGCCTATTAAAATTACATTAAAGATATATTTATTTCGTCTATATAGTAGTTTCTTACATAAAGGATTTTCTTTTAGCATGTCTACAGTATACAGGCCTGCATTTACTTCAGAACTGTCTAGTTCTTCGGATCAAAGCATGACCTGTTATGATATATGACCAAAGCAGACGACTCTTGGCAGGGCTCATATCTATGAGTTATGTACGGTACATCTTATGCATCTGTTTACCCATCAGTTATTAAGTCAGTGCTCTATAAACCTGGTATTTTTCTCAGTTGTGAAAACAAGAAGCTGTTTTTAATAATTATGATTTTTATTTGGAGGGGAGTGGAGTTGAATAGCTTCACTTTTAATCCCGGGTTTAATTCTGTGATAGAAGGACTTTATTTCACCACTAAAATAAAATCCACTCCTTAAGCCTCATAAAGAGAATTCGCTGATAAAAGCGTCACATTATTCATTTATTTAAAGAGGGCCCTGAGTGTTAGCCGACCAAGGATAAATATGGTAACAAAAAATAGGGTTATATGGTAGGCCTACAATGTCACACATTTGTATTTCCAGTATATTGAAAAGTACATTTATTCTATTATATTCAAAATTATTTTTATTAGTATTATCATTAACAATTTCATTATTTTTATCTTTTTTCTTGTTCTTGAAAAAGCGAATTTATAATAATTATAAACAAAACTATTTTATTAAAGTTACGGTATACTTTAAAATCTGCGAAAGCAGGAAAAAGGAACATCAAAAATTTATTAAAACAATTACGGTAATTGTTGATTTTTAGTGACCCAAATATCTAACGAAAACGAAGCCAACAATTCACTTATTGCTAACTTTTACCATGAAAATACTGCAGCCAATTTGAAGTTTTTGCGAACAACATCTAAAAGTATTGTTAAAGCATGGAGGTATAAAAGCGAACATGAAACATTCAAAGAAGTACAGTAAATCAAATACTGTATTGGCCTACCCAAGTAGAGCTTTGAATTAGATGCAGTTGAGTTTCTTCGATTACCGAACCATGACTTTCTTTTTCCATCTGACAAAACGAATTTGAAAAAATTATATGTTGTAGGGCTATTAACCGCCTATGATTTCCCTCAGAAGATGTTTCATTCATACAGATTGTGATAATATTTTTTTCTAGCTGTCGGTTGTAGACTGAGTAAAATAATATTGTCGAGCCCATCCCTTAGAATACATCACTCGGAAAGTCGAGTGGTGGAGCGCTTGTAGTGGTTGCAACACAACCAAGTGTTCTGTTACTTAACTATTGGATCCAGAATTAGGATGGCATCTGCTGACAGCGGTGTTTGTGAGGAAGTGGTCGTGATTCAAGTTTCTGACGCCGGGTCTCCGTCGAAAAAGAAATACCCCCGTTCCCTTAGTCGGTCAGATCAACCGGTTGTTATAAATGTTCGAACGAAACAGAGTGCATTTCGCTTAGCGGTACCCTGTATGCCGATGCCACTGGCTATCGTCTGCTGTTTACTTAACATCGTCGGACCTGGGTTAGGTGAGTGGAGAAGTGTTCTGCAAAATTTATTATAAGATTTAATATTTGTACTACAATTCGTTGAACCCATATTCGACTGACGTTGTTTTTCGTATCCTTCCTTGAATTTCTGGTGTTTCTAATTGTGTACATATGATTAGGAAGAAGCCGCACCAGTATTATTATTGTTGCTGATATACCATTGTACTCATCACAAAAGAATAATTACGGGTATGAATTGAACGATCAATAGAAAAAAAAAACCTGCTCATACTTGATATGAATATTATATTGCTATATATTTATTTGTATGCAAATTACACACTCTTTATGAATAATAAATGCAATCAACCGATTTATCGCTTGACCAGGGATAATCTAGCTCAGCTGGTGCTGTACATGTTTCTAAACCGCACAATTCAGTTAGATTTAAACCACATTCTGTTTTATTGTTGGAATTTTAATTGCACTATTATCAATTACCCCTAATAGGTTTATATAAATTCACTTTCAGACGAACTGCTAAAAATACTTCTTATCTCAGGCCTATCTCATTGTAACAAACGAAACTTGATTAATCCAACTGTCAGGAATTTTTCCCCTCCCGCGAGGTCTATCCCCTGATACGCACTACCTGATACGTAACATGTCGTTAAATTCCTGGTCAGTGGTGGCGCCAGGACCTGCCCGACGGAGGGGCTAAAGACCCCGACGGGGGGGGGGGCTAGAGAAGCGAATCGAGTCTCACTTGGCTGGGGGCCAGGGGGCCGCCTAGGACCCCGGTGGGGGTCCAGGGGGCGAAGCCACGGATATTTGATGAATTATGGCGAATTTTTATTACTTATTTGATAGGCATCGAGTTACTATAATATTGGAAATTTTGCATGAAATTTGTCAACCACGTTGTCATGGTCGAGGTTGCTTCACCTATCACGATGTATTCCAACCATCATGCATTTGTCATAACAAAACGCAAATTATTTTTAATTAGTCTAATTGAATTATTATTATTATTATTATTATTATTATTATTGTTGTTGTGGTTGTTGTTGTGATGAAAAGTTAACACAAACGATGTGGTGGCTAAACGAATATTACATGTAAATATTTTTTTTATTTGTTTGTTCCCCGGCAAAATTTAAGGGGGGGGGGGGCTATAGTCCCCCAGCCCCCCCCCCCCCCTCTGGCGCTACCACTGTTCCTGGTTGATGTTATAAAAAAGAAGCAGAATTCGATCGTGGACTGCACAAAAAATGGGTGGACTGTATTCCAGTCCCTAAACGTTGTCTTACTCCCTCTAATTGACCACCTCTAATTAAAGACCACTTTTCTGTGGTCCCAATTTAACAAATGTCTTTTATTTTTATTATTCTAATTAGAGACAAAGCTGCTAAAGATCATGAAAACCCCGGTCCTAAAAGCAATCTTTAGTATATTTGAATGAAAATGTATTTAAATTAGGCATACACATTTCCTTTTTTTCACCCTTTTACTTTCTATTTCCTGAGTCTAATTTATCGAAAGGTAATTTTCGCCATTCGAGCTTTTTGCAATCCCTATCGGCGGTATAAGCGCCATCAGTGGTCCAAACCTTCCAAAACCATTCGATTAGTTAGCCCTTGTTGACAGTACCATCATTATAATATCTTTTCCCCACGGCCCAACCCCACCCACAAAACATTTTCAGTTTTTTCGTTCTGTCGATTTCATCCTGTCAGACAGTACTAGTGAATTCGGATCAAAGTTGAAAATACATAACAGGCCTTAAGGCCTGTTTATACTTCACGATAACGATTTAAAAAAAAAGGCTAAAAAGCGATTGTTCATATAGAAAACAAAAGAAATAAGATAAATTTTTACACTTGGACGATTCTATAACGATTTATCGTGTATATGATAACAAAATATTTTATCAAATCAGATGACGTCATAATCATGGAAAAACGCTAAAATCGTTGCTACTACTACGATTTTAATGTTTTTCATGATTATGACGTCATCTAATTTGATTTGTCAAAATATGTTGTTATCGCATAACTGATAAATCGTTATCGAATCGTTCTAGTGTAAACACTTCTCTTATTTCTTTTATTTTCTATATGAACAATCGCTTTTTAGCTTTTTTATCGTTATCGTTATCGTTGAAGTATAAACAGGCCTTTAGGCCTACTTGCGAGTGTAATGACTGGGCTGTGAAAGGGCCCCAGAATGTTTACCTACGTGCCATCGCTAACGACTATTTTCAAATGACTAAATATGGTTTTCCCAACACCTTGCAAACACCCCCAAGTGTCTGCTATTCCACTTCACGTCACTTGCAGATACATCAAGTGCCCGTCTTGCAGCTAATCTTTAGCATTTTCCGAATTATTCACGTAGAAATAGGCCTAATATATTTACGAGGAAAATTCGATAGATATAATGCTATTGATAAATACGTCACAGTTTGTATCATTTTAGCCCACGTTAATATGCTTCCTAATTGTGATTTATTTTTGTCACCATCCCTATTTATGTTTCTATATTCGATGCCTCTTTGGGGCACTCACATATTTGAACTTTCAGCAACAAGGCTTGTCCCATAAACCAATTTAAATAAGCGTACACTAATACCTTTCTATAATTAGACCTATATACTTGTCTGCCATTGTACCATTTTCTTTGTTGTCTTACGGCGAAAGGCCTGTATTACTGGGGAGGCCATAAAAGCCATAAGAGTTGTTTTACCATTCACGTTAAATCTTAAAGAATAATTCATATTGACGTCCGTAACTCAGTTAATGATCATCATTCAATTAACTTTTGAAAGATGGAAACCGTCATTGATAAATGCTCATCAACGACAATAATTCAAATTCCTGATGAAAAATGGTGAGAAATGATGTGTTTACTTATTTTTTTTATTCTCGAAACCTTCCCACTTGAGCAAAGTACATAATTTATAATATTAAAATGGTGCGTAAAATTCACATTACAACTGTAATATGCCTATCACAAATATTAGTAGACATATAAATTGGAATTACAAATACCATCTTATGCATCATGTAAATTTACTTACCGGATATATTCAACCTTTTTTCTAATTAGAAATTGCAGTTCAATTTATAAAATTAATAGAATAAAATAGGCCCTACATGTATTTTACTATAAAATATCTCAAAGTCAAAGTCAAAGTAAAACTTTATTCATCCTTCAACGAAGGAAACTGAATGCTCGCATAAAACTTTTAAAAACAATGTACAATCACATAAAAAAAATATTCATAAAATTAACGTTTAAAATGTCGTTTTTAATGAGGATAAGTTGAGACAATCAGCAGACGGCGTTGCTTCGTCTCGCTCACATGGAGCGGAGTTGGATTCGTCGTACGACGAAGTGAGTGCCCGGCATTAACATTTTCGTAAGGTAGCGAACTGATTTTCCTTGCTAAAACTAGCATAATCAACTTTGAATGAGACTCATTATAGATCAATGTTATTAATGAACCATCCGTTTATTTATCAGTCATACAATATAGGAAAACTCAAATAAGACGGTACCGGTATTGGCCTACAGTATCTCAGACCTATCTGCATTTGCAGTGTTTTAAGCCACAAAGGTGTGAATGTAATGGTATTCTGTATAGAATCAGGCAAATCCATAGATATGCCCTTCATATCACACGTATTTATACATTTTTGTCAAATTCAATAAATATTGCCGTTAGACGTACTTTCAAATGGCTGAACCCATGTGGCGCTTTTGCTTTGTTGCCAAGGGTGATGGTGTACCGTACTGTTAGCGAACCCTGGATCGGAAACACCCATCTACTACGCAATCTCATATTTCGCACACAATTTTATTTCCAACTTGTTGATGCCATACGATATGATTAGACTTTATTTTCACAGCAGTATAAAATACAGCTCTGGTATTTGGTTCCTAATTTCAGAAAGGTAGAACGTTGGGCGGCCTTTCACGAGGCTGTCACTAGGCCTAATCTTTAGATCTCAGTCAAATACGGTATGTATAGAGATTATATATTCTCGGGTATGATATTGAATATGCTGTCTTTAAATTTAGAAAGACTTGAAAGACAAACCGTTTAAATAAAGAGCAATTGTGAGCTAATAATTATCTTTATGATGTTGACACAAGCAGTTGAGATAGAATAATACAAACTGGGTAACACAGTACCGTACATGCTGAAATGTATAAAACTTAATTTACTTATGTTTTGCTTACTAACATGGTCACTTTATTAATATAATAAGAGGCCCATAAATTTTTATTTAGGGACGATCACAATCATCAACGTTTTTGCAAGTTAAACAGTTACTGGTACCATAATCTCTTTCGGTATACTTCCTCTCTCTTCTCTGAAAGTGTACATAAAAATGTTTATTTTGCTAAAACATTCTCCATTTTTGTGAGTCAACTAAAGTACTGTACTTGGTTACATAAAAATGTGTATTATATTCATGGTTGCATTATAAATGGTTATTTTGAATCACCAATTTCATGCATATATAAATATATATATACAATGTGTCTACCCCTTAGCGTAGGCCTACTGTCTGTACACTTGTGAAAGTGTTGATTGTGAACGACTCCTTAGGGGTCATCCGTAATTATCAACATTTTCAAAAAAGTACAAAACATACTCTTTTCTGTTACCCCCTCCCTCCTCCCGAAACAGTACACAATAAAATGTTGATTTGTGTTATTTTGAGATCAACATTTTATGTTTTTCATAAAAGAGTACTTATGCCTACACTTTCAACCCCTCCCCCTAAAGCGTACCGTATGTTTTGTACTCTTTTGAAAATGTTGATAATTATGGATGACCCCTTAGTGGTCATACGCTTGTGTATCAGTGGAACTCAATCAAGTGGTGCGTTCACTTACACCATGTCAATACTGAATATTGTACTCTGCTACCTTCTGCTATACTTTACTAATGTAATTTGAATAATGAATTCTCGCGTGTGTTGCTTTTGAAGTGTGACAAATCCACGTTCACTAATTTGTAGATTCAT